GCGGGATGGTGGGGGGCGTTGCCTCCGCGAACGGGCACCGCTCTCCCGGACCTGCTGCTCTGCCCCGCGCGCTCGGCAGGGGGCCCCTCGCCCCCCCCCCCAGGGGCTGCCGCGGCTCCGGAGGCCCCCCACGGCGTCCACGCAGGGGGCGCCGTGGTGGGCCTGTTTGCCACCGCCCGCCATCATTGAGCAGGAGGGGGAAGGGGTCCTCTTCCTCCTCCTCCTCCTCCTCCTCCTCCTCCCCTCCTCCTCCTCCTCTCCTCCTCCTCCTCCTCCTCCTCCTCCCAATCCTCCACCTCCTTCCCCCCTCCTACTTATGGTGGTAGTGGTGGAAAACAGGCCCATCAGCGCCACCACGCCGTGCAGCTGTCCACACGGGCGGGCGGATCCTGAGAGGAACGGGCCCCAAGAGGGGGCCCACGGCAGCCCCGAGAGGGGGCCTCCAAGACGCCCAAGGTGATTCCAGGGAGACCCTGGAGCACGCCAAGAGGACCCCAAGTCGGCCAAGAGAGGCCCCCAAGACGGCTGCCGACGGCGTCAGGCCAGCCAGGGTCGCCCTAAGACGGGCACAGAGGCCCCCGAGAAGCTCCCAAAGGCTCAAGGCACCCAAGATGCCTCCAAGAGGCTCCCAGAAAGCTCCCAGGAGGCCCCAAGAGTGCCTCCAGAGGCTCCCGAGATGCACCCAACTCCTCCTCTTCCTGATCTTCCCCGCCATCCTCCCCTAAGTGTTCCCCGAAGGGTTTCCACACCAGCTGGGGGAGCACAAGGTTCGAGAGCGTGGCAAAGCTCTTGCCACAACGCTCGGCCACATGGGCGATTCCAGGGGGCAAGGGGTGGTGATGATTCGCCGTAGGCGCATTGGATACTGGAGCAGAGAAACACGACGGCCCCCCTCGTTTGGAAAAACTGCAGGCGGAATTGCAGCCACATGAGTCGTGAGGTCCCGCGGTAAGGGAACACCAGGGCAGGAGCAACTAGATGGGGCATACTCTCCCCGAAGGGGGAGCGTTGGGCCTTTCTCGAAGTCGAGCCCAGATGACCCCCCCGTCCCTAGCAAGACACCCACGCAAAGGCTGCGATGCTCATGCTCATGCTTCAAGATGTATTGCAACCATGTGTTTCAGCCTGGGGAAGCGGGTCCCGAAGGAATCGGGTCCTCGATCCTGCCACAGGACCGATGCTTCATGCCGAGCCCCGGGGCAAGTAAGAGGCCCCCGAGATCCCGCAAGCGCAGAAGAAAAACCCGAGGACCCGTCTCCCCCAGGCCCCGTTTCACCCATGGCGAATCTCACGCGCCCCCAGATTCGCCTCTACAGTGAAAACGTATAGTAAGGACGCGTGGTAAGGACGCAAGACCCTTGGAGGCCGAAGTTGAAATGTTCTGGGCGGCAGGCGGCCAAACTCCCAGGGAACCTGAGAAACTGGCCTGCGAAAATTGCTAGGGACGGGCCGCAGAGGCTGAGGCAGGCAAGGACCCGTACCCTTGAAACAATCGTGTGCTCTTACTATGCGCGTTGACTGTACCTCCATGAAGGGCAGCACATTGTACGATCTGCTGTGCGTGTCACCACTTCGCTCTGGACCACGGGTCGGCGGTCCGACAACGTCCCCCCTGATCTTCCGGGCTACCGTTTTGCGGAGCCAAAGGCCTGGCCTGTACCACGCGGAATTGCCCCTGCGTGTGCACAACGTCTGTCTCCTTTTGTCCGTGGGTCTTCGTGGAGCGAATCCCGCCGAAAAAACTGGGACAGCGGACTTGAGGAGGTCGGGTTGGCCCTTGGACGACAGATGGGACCAAGCGAGTTCGTGGCCCTGCACCGGACTCCCGCGGGATCCCCAACCGGAGGAGCTGCGGGAGACTCTCCAGATCTCCCAGGAGGCCAGGAAGAGAGCTGTGCTTCTGACTAGCTACCAGACAACCCCAACCCAACCCGAAGACTCGAATTTCGGGTTGGGGGGGGTACGGGTTCCACATGTGTTTTTTCAATGCCCCCCCACTGGAAATGGAGGGCAAATTGAAGCCTTCGGGTTGGGTTGAAGACTCGAATTTCGGGTTGGGGGGGGGTACGGGTTCCACATGTGTTTTTTCAATGTTCCCCGACCCCCCCCCCACTGGAAATGGAGGGCAGATTGAAGCCTTCGGGTTGGGTTGAAGACTCGAATTTCGGGTTGGGGGGGGTGTACGGGTTCCGTATGTGTTTTTTCAATGTTCCCCGACCCCCCCCACTGGAAATGGATGGCAAATTGAGGCCTTCGGGTTGGGCTGAAGACTCGAATTTCGGGTTCGGGGGGGGGGTACGGGTTTCACAAGTGTTTTTTTCAATGTTCCCCGACCCCCTCCCCCACTGGAAATGGAGTGTAAATTGAAGCCTTCGGGTTGGGCTGAAGACTCCAATTTCGGGTTGGGGGGGGGGGTACGGGTTCCACATATGTTTTTTCAATGTTCCCCGACCCCCCCCCCACTGGAAATGGAGGGCAAATTGAGGCCTTCGGGTTGGGTTGAAGACTCGAATTTCGGGTTGGGTGGGAAGGGTACGGGTTCCACATTGGGGGGGTACGGGTTTCACATGTGTTTTTTCAAGGTTCCCCGCCCCCCCCCACTGGAAATGGAGGGCAAATTGAGGCATTTGGGTTGGGTTGAAGACTCGAATTTCGGGTTGGGGGGGGGGTACGGGTTCCACATGTGTTTTTTCGAGGTTCCCCGAACCCCCCCCCACTGGAAATGGAGGGCAAATTGAAGCCTTCGGGTTGGGCTGAAGACTCGAATTTCGGGTTGGGGGGGGGGTACGGGTTCCGTATGTGGTTTTTCAATGTTCCCCGACCCCCCCCCCCTCTGGAAATGGTGGGCAAATTGAGGCCTTCTGGTTTGGCTGAATACTCGAATTTCGGGTTGGGGGGGGGGTACGGGTTCCACATGTGCTGTTTCAAGGTTACCCGACCCCCCCGCCCCACTGGAAATGGAGGGCAAATTGAAGCCGTCGGGTTGGGCTGAAGACTCGAATTTCGGGTTGGGGGGGGGGTACGGGTTCCACATGTGTTTTTTCAATGTTCCCCGACCCCCCCCCCCCCACTGGAAATGAGGGCAAATTGAGGCCTTCGGGTTGGGTTGAAGACTCGAATTTCGGGTTGGGGGGGGTACGGGTTCCACATTGTTTTTTCAAGGTTCCCCGATCCCACCCCCTCCCCCCCCCACCCACTGGAAATGGAGTGTAAATTGAAGCCTTCGGGTTGGGCTGAAGACTCGAATTTCGGGTTGGGGGGGGGTACGGGTTCCACATGTGTTTTTTCAATGTTCCCCGACCCCCCCCCGCCTCCTCCACTGGAAATGGAGGGCAAATTGAGGCCTTCGGGTTGGGCTGAAGACTCGAATTTCGGGTTGCGGGGGGGGGTACGGGTTCCACATGTGTTTTTTCAAGGTTCCCCGACCCCCTCCCCCACTGGAAATGGAGGCAACTTGAGGCCTTCGGGTTGGGCTGAAGACTCGAATTTCGGGTTGGGTGGGGGGGGTACGGGTTCCACATGTGTTTCTCAAGGTTCCCCGACCCCCCCCCACACTGGAAGTGGAGGGCAAATTGAGGCCTTCAGGTTGGGTTGAAGACTCGAATTTCGGGTTGGGAGGGAGGGGGGTACGGGTTCCACATTGGGGGGGTACGGGTTCCACATGTGTTTTTTCAAGGTTCCCCGACCCCCCCCCCCCTGGAAATGGAGGGCAAATTGAGGCCTTTGGGTTGGGCTGAAGACTCGAATTTCGGTTTGGGGAGGGGGTACGGGTTCCACATGTGTTTTTTCAATGTTCCCGACCCCCCCCCCCACTGGAAATGGAGGGCAATTGAAGCCTTCGGGTTGGCTGAAGACTCGAATTTCGGGTTGGGGGGGGGGGGGGTACAAAGGCCACCCCCCCCCCCCACTGGAAATGGAGGGCAAATTGAGGCCTTCGGGTTGGTTCGGGGTGGTCTGGAAATGGAGGGCAAATTGAGGCCTTCGGGTTGGTTCGGGGTGGTCTCGGGGGCTGGTGCGCTTCGCCACGGGCCTGCAGCTCCACGCTGCCCCCGGGGCGCCGCTCCCTCCTCCCCCCGGGCCGCCCTGCCGAGTGCTGCACGAGCGCCGACTGCGAGCTCGAACGTGGACGCGAGACCAGTTCAGTCTCGATTGCTCTGAACTGTCGGGGGGACGTATAAGTCGGCGGTGGACAAGCCTCCCGTTAGTAGACCTCCCCTTAGTGAAAACGGCCGGGGACCGATACCGACGGACCTGGACCCGCAAGAATGGCGGCCGCGACGCCCACTCGCAAACCGAAAACGGCAAATTCCTTAATCGACGTGTCAGGGTAGGAGGTCTATCAACCTCCGAAGAAAGGCGGGGTAGGGGCAGACGTGGGGTCCGAGGAAAATCCCTCCAAAAGGCCCGTGCAAGAAGGAACCGCGAGCAGCCAGCGGGGTACGCTCCCTGACTCCACCCCGGGAGAACCCCGTCGAGGGACCCCCGCAACGCTAGTCGACGGCGGACGTCGTTCCAGGCTGCCCAGGCCGCCCGAGCCCGGCAGCCTTGAGCTCCCCCTCCTGTGCCTCCGCCGAGATGGCGCGCAGCGGCCCTCAGAGGCCGCCCAGATGGGGTCGGAGCATCGGCGGGGTCGGAGGATCGCGCCGCATCGCCGAGAAGTCGGCGGTGCCGGCGAGGCGAGCCGGGCGGGCGCTCAGCTCTATACTCTGAGCAGGGGCCGACCGTCCTGGCATCGCTGTGGGCCTACCGCGTAGTGTTCTTTGAGCCCCACAGTGACGTACTAACAGACTCGATGTTGTTAGAACATAAGCCCGATGTGCCAAAACATGGCAGTCTCAACCAGAAACGCTCGAAGTACATGTCGTCTAGACCACAGAAAATCTTCTCAGAACAATCAAGCCGGGACGCTTCGCCACTGCCTGAAAAAAGTACTGCTGCACACCGAGCCCTGGCACGGGGGCCATCCTGGCCCCGCCGTGTCGGTGCCGTGGCATGCCCTCCTTGCTCGGCCGGGGAGGCGCACGCGCTGTACAATAACTGGCCCCCGGCCACGGGCTGGCCGGGCCAGGCTCCCGGGGCGCACCCCACCTCGCGCAGTGCGCCCCGCGGTGCGCGACGCGCCTGTTCTCTTCTCGCCATCGCGCATGCGCCAGGGGAGAGAAGGGCAACCGCTCCGGCCCAGAACGCGACGCGCGGAACTCGATCTCCCCCGGGCCCCCGCGGGGGAACCGAGATCGAGGATCCTCAGAACATGCGGTAGCGCCAGAGAGCCCTCGCCCGCCGAAGCCCCCCAGTGCGACACAGGAAGCGCAATGAGAGCTCATACTCGCTGCAGGCTGACGGAGGAGCCGAACGGGGCAACACACACACACACACACACCACACACACACACACACACACACACACACACACACACACACACACACACACACACACACACACTGGGCTAACGCACGTCCTCAGGATCATCGGCACGAGGAGCTCGGCACCGGTGCGCCCTGCGGAGCGCGGCGGGGGGTGTCTTCCCCGCTCCCCCCCTACCCCCGCGCGAGGTCGCCGCCACGGGGGCGGGACTAGGTGGCGACAGGCGAGCCCTACCCCCGCCTTCCATCGATTCTCCTCTGGTTCCATGGAAGGCGGGGACAGGGTTTGGATTTTTCCACGTGCTCCACGATTTCCAAACCCCACCCCCGCCGCCCATCGCAATGCCTGAACCGTTGATCGGCGAGGGGAAGGTTCGGACTTCGCCGACGAGGAGCGGGGGGGGGTTCTCCGCCCCCCCCCCCCCCGCGAGGCCGCCGCCGCGGGGGCGGGGTCCTGCAGGGCGGGCCAGGCGGGCGCCGAGCGAGCGGAGCGCCATGTGGCGCGCGAGGGGGGGCCAAAACGGTGCGATCGGCCGCGTTCTCGGGCAGCCTCCAGGCGCGCCCTTGGGCCTCCTGCAGGCGTCGTCATCGTCGTCGTCGTCGTCATCGTCGTCGCCTTCGACGTCGTCGTCGCCGGCGCGGGGGGGGGAGAGGCAAAACGGCGCGGGAGGCCGTGAGCACGGGTAGCCTCCAGGCGCGCCCTTGGGCCTCGCGGGGTTCGCGCCCGAAGTCCCCCTCCTCCTCCTCCTCCTCCTCCTCCTCCTCCCCCTCCCCCTCCTCCTCCTCCTCCTCCTCCTCCTCCTCCTCCTCCTCCTCCTCCTCTCCTCCTCCTCCTTCCCCTCCCCATTCCCCTCCTCCTTCCCCTCCTCTTATTCCTCCTCCTCCTCCTCCTCCTCCTCCTCCTCCTTCTCCCCCCCTCCTCCACAATTACACAATACGAATACTATTTTCCTATCTCCCCTGATGACGTCCGGAAGATGATGGCCCCCCTCCGCGTACTGTATTGCATACACACAAGATTTCCGGACATTGGGTGTTCGCTTGGGCTTGTTTTCAAAATGTTGCTCCCGCTGAAACGCTGAAGCGCTAGCCTCATTTTCGGGCTTCCGCTCGTTCCGAATTGTGCTCACGCTGCAGCGCTGGCCTCATTTCCGCGCTTCCACTCGTTCCGACTCGTGCTCCCACTGCAGCGCTGGCCTCATACCCGCGCTTCCGCTCGTTCCGAATCGAGCTCCCGTTGAAACGCTGGCGTAAGTATGTCCAATTCAATGCAACGGCATGCAAGTCAATGCTATGTGGTGTTCCGCTGTGCGATGCCATGCCTTCAACTGCAATGCCAAGATGCGCCGTGCTTGACTACGCATTGCCACGCCATGCTATGCCATGTTACGCTTTGATAATTTGCGCCATGATAAGCCATGCTATGTGCTGTGCCGCTGTGCGAAGGCATTATTTGCGTTGCAATAGATTGGCGATACAACTCTTCACTACGCAACGTCAAACCATGATACGCTCTGACGTGCTCTTCTACGACCTGCTATGCCGTGCTCTACAATGCATCGCGCACCCTTTCGGGGTCATTGCACTGCTCGACATCCGACTGTGCGAATAGAGAGGAGATCTACGCCATGGTAAGGGATGGGGCGGAGGGGCAGGACATTAGACATGACGCGAGCGCACCTAGCTTGTCTTATCTTAACCCCTCCCCATCCTCCATCTTGCCCTCTGGCTTGTAGCGTTCATCTCCTCCTCCTGCTCCTCCTCCCCCTCCTCCTTCTCCTCCTTCCTCCCCCTCCTTCTCTAACTTCCTCCCCCCCCCATCTCTAACTTCTCCTCCTCCTCATTCCTCATTCTTGGGGAGGGCGGGGAAGGGGGCACAACACTGTGAGGCAGCGAGGACGGGCAGCCTTTCAGCGCGCCCTTGGGGATACAGGGTTCGCGTCGAAGGGGGGGGCCACGAGCCGCAGGAAGGGCGGGGCCAAGATCCCCTCGAACCATGGAAAATCTCAACGGAAAAGTCTTCTCTATTCTGCCTCCGGGGGGACTTCTTGCCGGGCATCGGGACCGTCATCAACACGATTCAGGATAAAACGCTGGTCGAGTGTGTCGAGACTTCTTGGGGACGACGTCAGGAACAACTCATGACGGCGGGAGTCTGAGGGAGCGGCGCGGGGCCATGCTTTGCTCAGGTTCGCAGTTCTGTGCAGGGACGGGTCGGCGTTGAGCGGGCAGGGGAGTGGAGGGGGAACGGGGGCCTAGGGGGGGGAGGTGGGAGGAGAGGATCGACGGGGGGAGGAGATGGCATGGGATGATGGGAGCTGTCTGCTCGGGGCTCCTCCGAGGATCATCCGAGGCCGCCCTGGGGACGAAACAGAAGAAAAGCAAAACAGGGCCAACCGTCTCGACCGCGGGGCTGTCCGCAGAGACCCTGCAGACAGCAGGGGGCGCAGGGAAAGAGTAGAGGACGGCAAACCAGCATACGCGCGACCTTTCCAGACTGCCCAAGAGCCCCCTAAAACTGCTCAAGGAGCCGAGGATCTTCATATGCTCCCAAGAGGACTGCAGGAGGCCCCCAACAGCCCCCAAGAGAGGAGAAACAAACCATATGATGAAATGAAACATAAGAGGACGAACACGCGTGGAAACACCCCGACGCGACACGGAAGAGCGTATCACATGTTACGACTCTGGCACGACTCAGGCACGAGGTGTCACACGTTACGGCTTCCTGTGCGTTCCTCGAACAATCGACACCTTGAATGCTGGGCTGGCTCGGTGGCGGGACTTGCCGCAAACAATTGGATACGAAACACACTATTCAAGGGAGGCCTGGGGAAGCCCAAATCGCAAATACTGACCGCCTGCGGTTCAACCAGCAACGTGCACGAACAACAGCCCCATGTTGATGCCTGGAGCCTTGTATCAGTCTGGCGTGGCGCTACTTCTGGCAAACCATAGCCCACAGCCTGCACTACTGGTAGGAGTAATCCACGAGACAGAAGACGGGTGCGATGCCTGGAGACTTGTAGCCATGCAGAGTGGTCGCAGCTTTGGCTGCGCTCAAGTCGCTGCACCTGTGATGTGGGCAGTGGACGCCCTTGAAGCTGTGCATATCTGCTGGGCAGCGTGGGGCATACATGAATGACAGCCTTATGCTGATGGCCAGAATCTTACTGCACACCAACATGATGGTATGTGTGACAATACGTTGCCCACCGTTGCAACGGTACTACGGGCAATCCATGAAGCAGAGCACTTATATGACTCTTGGAAACGTGTGGACGTACAGAGTGGTGCGCTGGAATGGGTTCGGCTGTAGCGCCAGCAGAGGTGGTTTGCGGAACAACGCACGCCTGAAGAGATGTTGGCGTCGCACACGAACGACAGCCGTGGATGTGTGCTCGGAACATTCAAGATACGACATCGCACGCGGCCAATGTACAACGCATGGCTGCTGACCCGCTTCGGCCCGCCGGGACCTGGGCTGGAGCCTGGTGTTGGGGAAGAGGAGGAGGAGAAGGAGGAGGAGGTGGAGGAGGAGGGAAGAGAAGGGAGGAGGAAGAAGGAACGGGGGGAAATAGAAGGGACGGCAAGCTAGGTCCACTCGCACCATATCTGACATCCTACGCCTCTAGTCCATCCCTCAAAATTGATCAGTTGTTTCTCTACCCGCAGACGCGTGTCATAGCGGACCTGGAACTCAAAAGAGGACCCCATCGTGCTACGCGAGTTCGAATAGGAAGGACTATGTGGACACTGGAGGAGAGAGTGGCGAATGTGCAGGAGGATGAGCAGGAGGACAACGAGAAGGATGATGAAGGAGGAGGACGAGGACGAACAGCAGTACCAGGAGCTGGAGCGGAAGGAGCGGGAGAAGCAGGAGCAGGGGAAAGCGGGCTGAGGAAATGAGGGGGCGACACGGATGAAAAAGAACTAGGATTCGGAAAAGTGGCCCGCGCTGAGGCGAGAGCGCCACTCTGAACGACGGGAACAAAGCGCCGATACAAAAAGAAATGACCCACGGTGCAGCGGGAGCCCCACTGTGAAATTGTAAACAGCGGAATCCGTCGGATCGCAAACAACAGTCGGCGGCGAGAGAGGGGGGGGGAAGTGAGGAGGAGAAGGATTTCTCAGATGGTTCGGCAATCCCCTGGCCTTCTGAGAACTTCTCCGAGCCGCCCCCGAAGGCACAGAAAACTTCTCAGAAGGCGCAAGGGCTTCTCAGAAGTCCCGCCGCCTTCTGAGAAGGCCTCCTCCTCCTCACTTCCCACCCCCGCTCGCCGCCGAAACCGCCACAAGAAGCTCGACTCTTGAAACGCTGCGTCGAAGAAACGAGACGCGGAGAAAAAGGCCGGACACCTCTCGGACAGAATACGGGGAGAGAGGGAGGAGAGCAGCACCGCGAACGTGTGCAATCGCAGGGGGTTCTAGAAGGTAAGTAAGAATATGTTACAAACCACCCAATACAAATATATAAGAAATAATAATAGAAGCATCGCCCCCAGACTATTTATCTACAAGGTTTGAATCTTACTCCTGTAGAGGGACATCCCCGAATTCGAACCACAGGGGAGAGGGCGACGGGGGAGGAGGCCGGGGAGGTGAGAAGACGCACGAGCCGAGGAGAACAATCTACGATTAAGTGGGGCGTGTCCCTCTACAGGGGGATTTTCGGCGAAAAATAAGAATACAAAAGAAAAGCTCCAAATTGGTCAACAAAGAAATATCAAAAAAAAGTCCCCAGCCGATTTTTTGACTACTTTTGGATACTCCTCCTGTAGAGGGACAGGCCCGACTTACATCTACGAGCGAGGGCGAGTCCTCGCGTGAGCCGAGAAGCTGCACTGAGAACGAGCTCGCCTCCTCGACGCCCTCCAGCGAAGCCGAGAAGACGAGCTCGGAACGCTCGCAGCGAGCCTCGCGGCCTCGCCGAGACGCCCTCGGTCTACCGTCTACCGCGCAGGCGCAGAGGGCGCCGCGGGCGCGCACCGCCGGCCTGCTCCGGAGCTCCTCCCCCCTCGCGACGAGGGCGGGGTCCGGCCCGCTCCTGGCGGGCGGCGTCGGGGGCGGGCCCCGGCCGGCGGCGAGCAGCGGGGGCGACTCCCCTGACCTTCCGGGAGGGCCAGAAGACAGCGCCAGGACCTTGATACCCCAATTGCAGTCGAGGTTTGAAGCAGTCCAGATAGGTCGGCAGGTTTGGAGTGCTGTATCTTAGCGCTCTGGAAGGTCAGGGTCGGACGGGTCCTCGTCGGCTGGGCAAGTCTCCTGTCAAAGGAGAAAGAAATATCGACACGGCTACCCTTCCCTCGTTTCCCCCTTTTGGGGCCTCCTGGGAGGCCCTCGTCGCCACCGCTGGGTTCGCCTCGAGATGTTGGTCCGAACGCAGCCCAGGAGAGGCAGAGGTCCGGGGAGTAGCGGTATCGGTACCTGTTGGTTTCCCCACTAGATGGTACGCAACACGTACTGGTGCGCACGGGCATACGCAGGGCTACCAAAAGCGAAGAGGTTTAATTATCCGTCGGCACCTCCCCCACCCCCGCCCCTCATCCACCGAATCTCCTAGGTTCTCGGTCTCCGCCTCTCGTGTTGCTTGTGCTGAGGGGCGCCCGAAATGGGGGCTCCACGCAAAGGGACCTTTTACAGTCCGCTTTGGGCCCCTGCCAGCTGGCTCCAAGATGGACCCCAATGGGCCCCTTTACGGCCCCGGCTCCACCCCCCATTCAGGTCACCCCCCTTGGCCACCCGCCCGAGCGACGTCGTCGTCGGCGAGGTTCATTGTTTCGTCGCCGCCGACGTCGTCGACGACGTCCTCCTTCTCCCCCCTCTGCGTCAACGACCCTCAACCCTCGAACGAAAGCGCACCGCAAAGAGGTCCCTGAGAGGCCTCCCAGAAGACCCCAAGCGACTTCCAAACAGGCGCCTTGTCCATGATCAGTTGTGCCCCAACTTGACACAAAAAGCTCTGCAGAGACCTCCTCATCCTCCTCATCCTCATCCCCCCCTCTTGCTCCTACTCGTCCTCCTCCTTCACCTTTTCGCTCGCCACGAACATACAAACGTATAGCACCAATGATGCGCAAGATGGGCTGGCGGAATGAGCGAAGCGATTAATAATATGCAAGGAGAACTCGCGGCGGACGAGCAGGAGGTCACCCACGACCTTCAAATCCGATGCTGCTTCATGCCGAGATGTCACTTCAGAAAGTTGCGACCTAAGACGACCCACAAATCCTCCAGTAGCCCTGAAGAGCCGAAACCAGACAGACCAGAACCTGGCGAAATGGAAATAAGAATCGACCAGTCTCCCTCCTGCTCCCTAGAAGTACGGCGCTGCCAAACTGAGGCGTCCCTGGAGCCCCAACCAACATCGAGCAACGCTGCCTGAGCAGTCGAGACCGGACCTCTGACCTTGCGCCAAAAGACTCGGCCAACCCGCTTGGGGCGACGAAGAGAAGCCCCCCGGGCTTTCACCACTTAGGCACACAACTGAGAGTGCTTGTCATCAAATCAAGAAGTCATCAAGGCCGTCAACGGAGTGATCATGCAGCAACGCAGGCACTGCTATCGCACAGATCTCCTCCTCCTGCCCTCCTCCGTTTCCGTCTCCTCATCTTCCCTTCTTCCCTCTCCTCGAAAACGCATATATGCACGTGCTACACATCGTGTATGATGCGAACGTGGGTCTGGAAGCGGGACTGGCAAAGTGAGAGAAGCACATCATCAAATTTGTCCTTGGGGTCTCCGGAGGTACAACCTTGCAAACTCAAGGATCATGGACGGACGGTAGAAACATGTCAACACATTAACATCAGCTACGAGACGCCGACTCGCGCCAGCTGAGCAGCTTGCATTCGAATGCGCGGGCGTCTCGCGCGTGCGTACTCGAATCAATTCCTGGCGCGCATTCCAAATCAAAACTTAACATGCGGTGCTCCATGTGATCAAGAATATGTGCTGCTGCACTGTCTGCGCAGACCGCGCCAACTCTGTTTCCTTCTCGCAGCCTAGCTAGATGGCTACGGTGACAACACTACGCTGCCTCGCCATCGCTCGGACGTTCATTCCCGTGCATTTTTCGATTTCGTGTGAGCATTTTTCGCTAAATGATCAAGGATGCTCCTCGATGCCCCTCGCCGAGAAAAATGCACACGTCCGAGCGATGCCAAGCTGCAAGCCAGCCAGGGTACCGCAGCGCTCCAAGCGAAACTGCGCAAGCTCGCTCAGACAGCGGAGAAACGAGTAATCCGAGACAAAGATCGCACCCGCCTCGAGCGCGAAAGCCTCCGTACCGATGGCGGGTGCCCTGTCAGACAGGGCACCCGTGCACCGGCCACAAATAATCCCACGCACCGTGCTGCCTGCGCACCTCCCCTGTCCAGTCTAGCAGCGCACCCGCAGGGGAGATCGCTCGAGCGGCAGAGTGGCAGAGCCTCGCTTGCAAGATCCGCCTCGCAAGTCCACGCGTCGGGTCCGGCCACGGACATCCATACGCACAGAAGGGGCGGTCACACTCACGGCCCCTCCGACGCCACTTCCTTCACCGGAGATGTCCAAAATGGCCGCGTGCCCGGGGACATCCATCCACGAGCCGCTGTATACTGAGCCCACCCTCCGATGCCCCCTTCCCCCCATCCAATCTTCCTCCTCCCCCTCCGCCTCCTCCTCCTCCGCCTCCTCATCCTCCGCCAGATCCTCCTGAGCCCCTTCCGTTCCCCTTCCCTCTCTGCAATTCCACAAACCCTCTCCCACTGCCTTCCGCCTCACCCTGCGCCTTCGTCATCCCCTCCCTGCTGCCCTCGACCTTCCACTTTTACCCCTGCGCGGCTCTGCCCCCCTCTTCCCGGACAGTTGGTCTCCTTGCCCGCCCCCCCCAATCCTGCACAAGCCTAGGCAAAGAGGTGCAGTGCAAACGACTAGCCAGATCCTCAGGGACGCCAGAAAGTGGGAATCCGAACACCAACAACGCTCGGACAAACACACACACAAATACGTGTTACGTCGGCGGCTGGGCAGAGTGACTGCGCTGGCGGAAGAGCATGTGTAAAATAAACAAATGTGAATTAAGCCGTAATGCACGACACACATTCTCACACACAATACACACACACACGCACGCACAAACACACGCACAAACACACGCACGCACGCACGCACGCACGCACGCACGCACGCACGCACGCACGCACGCACGCACGCACACACACACACACGCACACGCACACGCACACGCACACGCACACGCACACGCACACGCACACGCACACGCACACGCACACGCACACGCACACGCACACGCACACGCACACACACAAGACACAGAACACACACACACACACACACGCGCACGCACGCACGCACGCACGCACGCACACAAACACAAACGCACACAGACACAAACGCAAACGCAAACGCAAACACACAAGCAATGCACAAACCAGCACAAATCCGCTGACCCTCGCTTGCTGGGGGCTGACAAAGCCTGTGAGACACTCGGCTGTCCTCTCCGCCGTTCCCGCTCCTGGGGCTCAAAATGCTGCTTGAGGGTGGGGCGTCCCTCTGAGAGCTCGTCAACAACTCTCTCGGGGCCTCCACAGCCTCCAGAGAGCCACAAGACGGCCCAAACAGACCCAAACAGAGCGCCAAGAGGCCCAAAAGAGGCCCCCAGAGGCCCACGAACGGACCCCATGGGACATCCAAACTCCCTCAAACGATGACCCCGAGAAGCTTCCGACGAGATCCCAACGAACATTCAGCAGGCTTCATGCCCACAACCCAGGCACGGTGGCGGGCTGGGCCGAAAGCCGTTGGATCCGCCGCCCCCTGTCGATTCAACGCAGGGGAACCTGGCGTGCTAGACCCTTCCGGTTTGGTTTTGGTGCTTTTTCAGAAGAGCTCCCCCTGGCGCTTGGGCCCGTCCCGCCGAGGTCCCGGGAGGCTCTTCCAGGACCCCAACGTGCGCAACAAATCCTTCAAGACGGCTCAAGATGGCGTCCAAGATGGCCAAGATGGCCTGCCAGTCAGACAAAGATGATCCAAGATGGCCTCCAAGTCCGCCCAAGATGGTCCAAGACGGCCTCCAAGACGGCCCAAGAGCGTCCAAGACGGCCTCCAAGAGGCCCCCCAGAGACCTCCAAGACGACCCGAGAGACCTCCAAGAGGTCCTCCAGGAGGGCCCGAAGATGCCAAAATCATTGATGTTCCTGAGGTTTTTGAAGGATTTTGGAATTTGCTTCTTCTCGGCATTCCGACGGCCCAAGACGGCCCAAGAGGCCCCCAAGATCGCTCAAGAGGCCCCCAAGAGGGCCTCATGACGGCCCAAATGGCCTCCAAGAAGGCCCCAAGAGGGCCCCAAGACGGCCCAAGAGGCCTCCAACACGCCCAAGATGACCTCCAAGACGCCCAAGATGGCCTCCAAGACGGCCCCGAAGCGCCCCAAGAGGGCCCCAAGTCGGCCCCAAAAGGCCCCCAAGAGGGCTCCCGACGGTGTCAGACGTGCCAGGAAGCCACCAAGATGGCCGAAGTTGGCTCGAAGCTGGCCCAAGACTGCCCAAGAGGCCCCCAAGAGGGCCTCCAGGAAGGCCAGAAGAGGCCAAACATATTATTATCATTCCTACGGTTTTGGACGGATTTTGACATTTGCTTCGTTTCCGCCTTCCGACGGCCCGAGACGGCCCAAGAGCCCCCAAAGATCGCCGAAATATCGCCCAAGAGGCCTCCAATATGGCGTCAGAACTGCCCAAAAGGGCCCCAAGACGGCCCCAAGAGGCCCCCAAGATGGCACAGGAGGCCTTTAAGACGCCCAAGATGGCCTCCAAGACGGCCCTGGAGAATTCAAAGAGGGCCACAGGTCGGCTCAGAGAGGCCCCCCAAACGGCTTCCGACGGCGTCAGACGGACCAGCAGCCCACCACGACGGCCGAACATGGCCCTAAGATGACCCAAAACGGCCCAAGAGGCATCCAAGAGGGCCCCCAGGAAGGCCCGAAAAGGCCAAAATCATAGATTTCCCATGGGTTTTTGAAGGATTGTGGCATTTGTGTTTTTTCTGCCTTCCGACGGCCGGAGACGGCACAAGTGCCCCCAAAGATTGCCCAAGAGGCCCAAGACACGGCCCCAAGAAGCCCCCGAGACGGCCCAAGATGGCCTCCAAGACCGCCCAAGAGCCCTCCAAGACGTCCTCCAAGAAGGCCCGAAAGGGTCAAAATGGCCTCCAGACGGCCAAGATGACCTCAAGATGCCCACGTGTTCCCCGAAGGCTTTCCAAACCGATTCGGGGAGTACATGGTCCGATAGCTTGGCAGGTCTGGCCTCAACGTTCGGCCACATAGGCGCTTCCAAAAAGGCAGGGGGCGGCGGTGATTCGCCATAGGCGTCTTCGATCCGCCGCCCCCTGTCGATTCCTCGCAGAGGTGCCTGGCGTGCTACACCCTTTCGGTTTTGGTTTTGGCTCTTTTTCCAAAAGAACTCCCACTGGGGCTTCGGCCCGTCCCGCCGGCCACCCGGAAAGATCTTCCAGATTGCCCAGAGATGGTTGCCGAGTGTTTTCCCAGCTCTAGACGGCTCCAAGACGGCCCAAGATGGCCTCCAAGACGCCTCCAAGACGGCTAACATGGCCTCATAGACGGCTCAGATGGCCCCAAGATGCCTCCAAGATGGCCCAACATGACTCCAAGACGGCCTAAGATAGCCTCAAGATGGTTCAAGACGGCCCAAGAGGCCCCCAAGAGCCCCCCAAGACGCCTCCAAGAGGTCCTCAAGGAGAGCCCGAAGAGGCCAAAAGCAGTTGTATTCCTGAGGTGTTTGATGAATTGGGCATTTGCTTCTTTTCGGCCTTCCGAAGACCTCAAGACGGCCCAAGAGGCCCCCAAGATCGCCCCAAAATCGCTGACGAAGCCTGCAAGATGGCCCCATGACGGCCCAAGAAGCCCCCAAGAGGGCTCCAAGAGGACCCCAAGACGGCCCAAGAGGCCTCCAAGACGCCCAAGATAAACGATGGCCTCCAAGACGGACCTGAAGCGTCCCATGGGAGCCCCAAGTCGGTTCAGAGAGGCCACCAAGACGGCTCCCGACGGCGTCAGACGGGCCAGGAACGCCATAAGACGGCCAAAGAAGCCCCCGAGAAGCCCCAAAAGGGCACCAAGAGGCCCTCAACAGGCCCCAAGAGAGCCCAAGATAGCCCCAACATGGCCTCCAAGACGGTCCCAAGATTGTCAAATCGAGCCCAAGAGTGCTTCAAGAGTCTCCGAAGAGGCCTCCTCCCCCTTCTCCTTTTCCTCCTCCTCATCCTCCACTTCCTCCCCCCATCGTTCCCCGAAACTGTTCCAAACCGACTCGGGGAACACATGGTCCGATAGCTTGGCCAAGCTCGAGCCCAGCTGTCGGACACACAGGCGCTTCCACAGAGGCAGGGGGCGGCGGTGATTCGCCGTAGGCGTCTTCGATAGTGCAAGGTAGCCCCACGACGGTCTTAGATGGCTCCGAGGCGGCCCACGAGGCCTCCAAGGCGGCGCAGCAATGTCCCCCGAGGACCGCCGAAGAAGGCCTACACATGCAAACTAAATCGTTACGTTCCCCTTAGCAGACGTACGGCAGGTTCGCGTCGTGACGACCCCGGCGTTGGTTTCTGACACCGCGTGGATCGTTCAACCTTGAACGATCGGCGGCTTTCCGATCGCGCGATCGTTCCATCTAGGCCGACTGTGGGCCTCTGGCGGCATTCAACCTTGAACGCCCGCGGCGGGGTCGCCGCTGGTCGACACGACGCGAACCTACCGTACATGTTTCGTCGTGTTCGTCTTGGCAGCGATGGATCGCGCCGGCGGAACTCGGCCGCCGAGCCGGCAGAAGCCGCATCGGGCGCGGAGCGCGGCAGACTGGCGAGGCCTCCACAGAGAGAGCGGAGCTCCCGAATCGGCACCCGGAGCCGCATCGAGCCGAACTCGGACTTGCAGCGACGCCGACATAATTATCGCAATCGGAGCGAGCTCGGCACCCGCCGAGGTCGCCTCGAAGGGCAGCGAGGGGCCACGAAGGGCCGCGACGGGGCCACGAAACAAGGCGACGGGGCCACGAAGGGCTGCAACGGGGCCGCGAAGGGGAGGCGAGGGGGCCACGAAGGGCTGCAACGGGGCCACGAGACAAAGCGAGGGGGCCACGAAGGGCTGCAACGGGGCCACGAAGGGGAGGCGAGGGGGCCACGGAGGGCTGCAACGGGGTCGCCTCGCATCGCAGCGGGGGGGGCAGAGTCCAACGGAGAGCCCCGACGGCGCCGGCCGCGCTCTCTGGGGGTGGGGGGGGGCAGCCGCCCGGCCTCCGGCGGCGCCCCCCCCCGTGCGGTGTCGAGGAGGAGGAGGAGGAGGAGGAGGAGGAGGAGGAGAGGAGGAGGGGAGGGGGAGGAGAGGGGGGAGGAGGAGGGAGGAGGAGGAGGAGGAGGGGAGGAGGGGGGGGGGGAGGAGGAGGAGGAGGGGAGGAGGAGGGGGGGAGGAGGAGGAGGAGGAGGAGGGAAGGAGGGGGAGGACGAGGAGGGGTGGCGGCGCGGGCCGGGGCCTCGGGCCGCGGCTCCTTCCTGGCGGGGGCGCCGCCGGCCGCGGTGCCGCTCGCCTGCGGGCGGCGCCCCCTCTCGCCCCCGCCAGGTGGGCGGCGGCTGGCGGCTCGAGGAGCCCTCGCCCTGGGCATCGCTCGGACGTCCATTCCCTGTGCTTGTTTCGGTTTCGTGCGTGGCTTTTTCGCCAAATGATCAAGGATGCTCCTCGATGGTCCTCGCCGAAGGAAAAATGCACACGTCCGAGCGATGCCAAGAGATGGGCGGCAGCGGGCGGCGCGAGGAGCCCTCGCCTGCCGTGCTCCGATCCTCCACCGGTCGGCGGCGCGACGCCGGGGGGGGGGAAGCGGGAGGGTGCGGGCCTGCTCGGAAGTCTCGGAAGCTTTTTCCCCGAGGACACCGAAGGCTTCTCAGACGGAGCGAGGGCTTCTGAGAAGCAGTCCCGCCGCCTTCTGAGAAGCCCATCTCCTTCTCAATTCCCCCCCTCGCTCGCCGCCGATTTGTGCGGTTACGTGTTCGACAATGGGATCCCTGTTGCCCTCCCCTCCTGGGCCGAATCTGGCGGTTTCCTGCGGTGTTCGGCGCCAAAGCTGGATGCCTTCGTTCCACAAGGGGTTCCATGATCGACACGTATATGCGTGTATAACAGGCCTGTCCTACTCCAGTTGGCAGTTACCCCCCCCACCCACACATGTTGCTAAAGAGCCATGGTCTGAGCAACGGGGGTTCTGCCTGGGTTCGTTTCGGACTTATCTGGCATGCCCTCAAGAGGGTAGCGAGAAGAGTGCACGGTCGAAAATCCATGCGCACGCTCAGTTTGAACATGCTGCTCGCTACGCGGGTGCAAGTGAGTCGGGATGGTGCTTCTCTGCTCGACACTGCTGAAAAACAACATAAAAGTGAACGTGCCCAGGCCCAGCAAATGGGGCGTTCGTAAACAGGTCGCTAGGTAAAGGGTGCGTTTTCAGTTGTGTCTTCAAACATCGATTTGCCGCACTCCAATGCGAGATACCCCCCGGCCCAGAGTTCTGATGATATATATAAGACGATTTTGTCGCCCCGATGTATCACGCACTAGCGCAAGGTAAATACCCTGTCGCCCCGTTCTCGCTTGAAACGGGCGACAGGGCGTTTAGCTACCGCCCTGATTACTAACGCCCCGTTTGCAGGGGCTTGGCCGTGGAGCTAGACTACCCACAACTTCCACCCCCGCACAGATTGGCAAGCTGCCCGCGTCTAGGTCGCCCAGGCTCCCTCGACTTGCCGGCGTGGCAAGCCCCCTGATTGCCTGCTGCCAGGGGCTCGGTCACCGCAACCCTCCCCGCTGCAGCTGGAATAGGGGGCCAGATGCGAAACCCTACCCATACCCCCCACGATTTCCGAGGGGGTGGGGTCCACTTCGTTCGGGAGCTCCCGAGCGAAGTGAACCCCACCCTCCCCCTCAGAAATCGTGGGGGGTAGGGGTAATTAGGGCTCGCATGTGGTTCCCTATGGAAGCCTCCCGCTGCCCAGCTGCCCCGGCGCGCAACGCGCAGCCCGTGGCATGCCGGCACGGAGCTCGGCCACGAAAGCCGGAATCCACGCAGGTCTGGCAGGACGCCCTCGCCGAGGCGCGGCCCGGCACGTGCCAGAGCCAACGCGCGAGGTGCTGACGCAGACCTTTTCATGAACACGGTTTTTTTTGTTGATCCGCGGGTCGAGAGCGCACCTCTTCCGGTCGAAGCTAAGCGGGCCACGCGAAGCTTGAATTAGGCAGAGAAGAGGAGGGAGGAAACGGCAGGGCTCAGGGCGAGGCCGACGGGAGGCAAAGCTCCAGAGACAGGCGGGCGGATCTTGTGCACACGGCAGGTGCTGCGCTTCGGAACGGGCGTCTCGGGGCAGCTGGTCGAACAGGGACCCGACCGTCCCGGCACTCCCGTAGGCCTAGCACGGAGTGTTTTGAGAACCCGACGGTGCTCTGAGAACGAGCACCTCAGGACAGAAACCCGATGTGTGTTAATACAAGACAGTCTCGGCCAGAAATGTTCTGAGAATTTGTCGTGCAAGCAGCACAAGGTGTGATGGGCGTGTCTTCCACCACCACCATCATAAGTTGGAGGGGGGGGTCCTCCTCCCCCTCGTCCTCCTCCTCCTCCTCCTCCTCCTCCTCCTCCTCCTCCTCCTCCTCCTCCTCCTCCCCCCCCTCCTCCTCCTCCTCCTCCTCCTCCTCCTCCCCCCCCCTCCTCCTCGTCCTCCTCTTCGTCCTCCTCCTCTTCGTCGTCCTCTTCCTCCTTCCCCCTTCCAACTTATGGTGGTGGTGGTGGTGGAACACAGGCTCATCAAGGCTCTCAGAGCACTCTTTGCCTGAGCTCCCCTGCGCTCGACGATCGCCGCGCGCACCGCACAGGCGGTGCTGTCGGGCCCGCGCGGGGGCACTGCCCCCGGCCCCGCATGACCTCCCCGTGGGCGCGGCCCGCGGAGGTCCGCTCCCCCGGCCAGCATCTGCCAGCATCTGACCAGGATAGCGGATCGGGTCGGACCGTGCCTCGGACCGGGCCGCATCGGCACGGAATCGGTACGGCAGGGGCTCGCCCCCAAGAAACCGCCCACAAGAAACCCGACCCAGGGACCCCAGGGCGCCCCGAGTGCGGGAACGTCACGCTCTCCATGGCAGCACCGAAAGCCAAGGAAGCCAGGGCACAAGGGGGCGAGCAGGGTGTTGCTTGGGATGGGCCTTCGCTGTATCGAATGCAGTGGGCTGCGCCAAAATTCACAACAACTCCGTGCAGACATCGGGCTGCATCGGATCGACCGAACAGTGGAATCGAAGCGGATCGGGTCGGCAGGAATCGGTATCGAATCAAATCAAACTGGACATCGCCGACCTGCAATCCGCCGACGCGAATGGGAAATACAAAAGATGCCGCCACAACCCAGTGGGAGGCAGACCCGTGGATAGCTTCGGCCTGCGGGGAGAAATATGCGAACCCATCTGGCCGCGCCCCCTCATCTCGATCGGGAGGGTTGGGCCGCGAGCCCCAAGAGCGGGCAATAAGGAAAACGCGCGTCTTGATCGAAACGGCTCTTCACGACAGGTGAGGGGCTGGCAGTGAAACTTTTTTGGTCGCGGCCGCGGGCGAGAGCGCAAGCGGCGAGTCGTAAGTCCGGGGCGCGGGCCTACTAATTGACAAGAGGAGCAAACTAGAGCCGCGCACCTAAACTGCCTAAGCTGCCTAAGCGGCGCCTCGAGTGAGCTGCAAGCTGCACTGAGTGTGAATGCCAGGGCCAGAAGCAGCTGACAGTGAAACACGCAGTCTGGAGACGATGCGCCGAGGAGCGGCTCAACTCCCACCTTCCTGTGACGTATCCTCTCTCGTCAGCTGGCTCGTCCTCCTCTTCATGTCTGTTCTCCTCCGAATTCTCCTCGTCGTCGATCTCTGATCCTTCTCCTCCCGAGCTGCTGGTCACGGTCGTGGCGGGTGGGGGTTGGCCCCGCCAGAGGCGAGCCGACGCCACCACCCGAGCTGCAGTGGATCCTTTTATGCCCGCGATGCAGACGCTGTCCAGAGACGGCCGACCACCGCATCTGGGGCTGCGAGGCGAACTGTGGGGAGGTGGCCTACGAGTAGTCGGACTGCCTGCTCGGGCAGACTCGCACGCAGCATGAGGCCGACGAGGCGATCTGGTTGCGCGGGCTTTTGCCAGCGGACCGTGTTCCGGTCCCCCATGTGATGCAGGACCAGTGCTGGTGGGACACTGGCTTTTCAGAGGGGGTCGGCATCGGCTGCACAGGGCCAGGTACTTGCGAGCGCCCAGTCCTGGCGTTCGGAGACGCCAGCGGAGGTGCTGACTCGTCTTCCCCTCTTTTTCGTCGCGTCGGAGTCGGCCTCGCTCAGTTCGATGATGAGTTGTCCATGACCCCTGTTCGCACCATCTCGGGTGTGCTGCCAGGCCCCCAGCAGTCAGTACCCAGAAGCGAGCTGTTCATGTTTATTTGCGCCCTTCGATGGGCTCCACAGATTGCTTGATATACGTAACGGATAATAAGGCAGTGCTTGATGGGTGACACAGCGGTCAGGATACCAAGTGGAGAGAACGGTGACCTGTGAGCGGAGGTCGGCATCGAAATGGCCTCTCGGGAGAGAGGGCATGTGACGGTATTGTTCACCTTCAGCCACCTCGGAGCCAAGGATGTGAGTGCTGGAAAAGGGGCCTCCTGGCTCGTGAGGGGGAATATGTGTTCGCTGATGTGTTGGCGAACTGGGGGGCTGAGCAGCACAGGCTCCCATTGAAGTTGCGGAGCCCTATCTTGCAGCCTGAGCAGCTGATGTGTTGGATTTGCATGCGTATTCTGAGGTCCACGCTTGACGTGTTTGCCGCCGACGAAAAGACTTCGAGTAACAAGGGCTCCTAAGTTCGCGCTTCGCGCTGCGCGAAGCGCGAAGCGCGAATAACTTCGCGCTCTCGCGCCGCCCCCCAAGGGGGAGAAAAGGAGGACGAGGAGGAGGGGGAGGAGGAAGGAGGACGGCGAAGCGCGAAGCGCGAATAACTTCGCGCCCTCGTGGGAGCCCTTGAGTAAGCAAGCTCTTGATTTGTCTCCCCGTAGGTTTCGGCGGCGTGGGGGGCTCGGGCCTCGTGGGCCCCCGCGGGTGGCGAGAGCGCTGGCGAACCAACCATCCTCCCTCCCGCGCCCGCGGCTCCCGTTCCTCAAGGGCTCCCAGCTTCGCGCTTCGCGCTGCGCGAAGCGCGAAGTGCGAATAACTTCGCGCTCTCGCGCCGCCCTCCCAAAGGGAGAATAGGAGGACGAGGAGGAGGGGGAGAAGGAACGAGGACCGCGAAGCGCGACGCGCGAATAACTTCGCGCCCTCGTGGGAGCCCTTGTTCCTGGACCATCCCCCCTGCCGCTATCAGCTGAAAAGCTGTTTCCCTTTGCGTCCAGCCACGCCTTGGACGATTCGGGGCGTCGTTGCCGCCGTTGTCGAGGCTCAGCTGCTGTGTCCCTGGCCCGTGCATGGAGAAAGACAGAATGTCTCCGACTTGTAGCTATTGACGGCTCTCTTCGAGGACTCCCCGAGGGTGC